AATAATAATAATAAAAAATTAAAAATAAATTATATTATTTTTTCGATTTATCAAACCATTGATTCAATTTTAAAATTACCTGTTTTTTTACCATTAATATATTCTCCAACAGAAATCATTCTTAACCATTATTAGCTTGAAAATCTTTCAATCAATTCTACCCATTAACCATTTTTTAAACCATTTATATAAGTTCCTCCACCACTATTATAACATTTAAACTTAAAAATTACACATTTTTTTCTTTAACATTAGAAGATTAATTCAGCCATATTATATCCCATTTTCCAGTTTTCTACCCTTTCTTATACTAACCAACCCAAAGAAATTAAAATTAACTAAAATGATAAAAAGAAATTAAATTAAGTACTTGAAAAATATTGAATGGATTTCACAAAATCTTCCTTCTTATAAACTTTTTTCATATAATCCTGTTTCTCTTTGAATTATGATATAGTATATACAAATTTTGATATTTTTGTTAATTATCAATTTTATACAATGTTTCCCAATTACCTTACTTGATACCTTCATCATATAAACCTTAATAAATAACTTAGCATGAACTTTTAATGAACAATAACATTAATTTACTTTTAGAAATTAGGATGTAATTCAACCCATGATTTAATTTTTTAACCATTTGAATAGTAACCTCCACCACTTATATAAATTATCATTCTATTACATTTTTATAAATTCATTCTATCTAAATCCTTTATATAACGTACTCCATAATCCTATTTTAATTCCATTAACATATTCCCCAAAATAGATTACTTAACATTAACTAAATTTAAAATTTGCATTAAACTTATGAAAATTATCATAAAGTTCTTTCCAAAATCCTGTTTTTTTATAATTTTTGTATAAACCTCCTCCTCTAAATTTTGAATTTCATCATTTTTACATTTCTTGAAAATCACAAATTTCAGTCATTTTGTACTATGTTTTCCATAAACCAACTTTTATATCATTTTCATATTCTCCTATCTAAATTACCTAACATTAACTATAATATAAAGAAATCTTTTTATAATACTTC